CAGTTGTATTAAATTAAAGCATGAGAATCACTTCATAATGTTACTTTGTGTAATTTTGCATACACTATTTTCTTCTTCATGAGATCTTGTTCACCCTCAGTGTCCCCTGTGGAGCAGTAGGGACAAGTGTGCTTAATGTTAATAAATAACAGAATAACTAACTGAAGAACAGGGAAAACACAAGAGGATCAGACTGTTGCACCACATATCTAAATCAGCTGTAAAGCCAAAGCTTCCTCCCATTCCAAACCCATCCTATCTTCAAGCTCTGCCATACTTCATTTTCTCATCCTAAAACTCATCTTTATCCAAACATCAGTCCTCCTAAATGGAAAGGAACAGAGGAAGACTTTTGCATAATTTTTGTCGTTTCAAAATACATTGTGCAGTTTTTAGTGATTGCTAGAAAAATACTGATTTGTCTTTGTGATAACTATGAAAGGCCTTTTAAAAAGTTGTTTTAAAGCTAGCAATCTGTTAAAAAAACCCAAAAGAATGTTTTTGAAACAGTTGGCACCATCTGTTTAATAAAAAAAAGGGGGGGGGGGAGAAAAATTACTGTAGTTAGCATCAGCATTGCTTAACTCAGCAGACCAGCAAGTAAGTAAAAAAGCCATCAATTTCTATTTCAATAAAACATGAATTATATGGATTTTGCTAGAGAGAACTAGACCCTGTCATGGTAACGTGTAACTACATTTGATAACATTCTTCAGCACATATTTCATTATTTCTCAACATCTCATAGGTACTCACAAAATACTTGGCCACAAACCACATTTAATTCCCAAAACTCTGTGGTGAAAGCCAAGTAAACACATTACGAACTGGGCATCTGCTAAACCAAGACTAACACATGGCATTTATAATTTTGCCAATTCCGTTACTAACATATCCAAACAGATGCCAAAGGAAGTATTCCAAAGACTTTTCAGGCAATGGGAATGAATTGGCCTTATTCAGAAGCAAAGCATTAAAATCACCTTCTAGATGACACCAACATAAAAACACGGTGCTAAGCTTTACAATGCATAAAAGGGGTATAAAGAAATGTTAAGGCAATAATACAGATGCTCAGAACTAGAAATAGGAACCTCTCATACACATTGTCAGCTGTTATCAGCTTCTCTTGCCCAAGTGCATAATCTACACTCTCACTGACAAAACAGCTGGGTGCCACCAGTCCCTCCTCTCAGCAACCTCAGTATCAAACTCTGGCAACCAATGCATCCTGTAAGGGCTGCTTGATCTGTCAGATGATTCTGGTTTTATTATAATAATCAAAACTCAACCACTGACCAAGCCATATCACTTTCCCAAACACATGCTCACAGTGTATTCTGTGATGTCAGGCAAGATTCAGAAAGGGTAACAAAACTAGGATATCTGGAAAAACAGGAAAACCTGGATAATGTAGATAGTATAGATGTGCTTGAGGAATATGGTGCAGACACATCCATGTTGCTCTGCGATCCCACATGATGCAAAATCATAATGCTGGCACTGCACTGAAATAAACCTTGTGTTACACCATGCTGGAGGTGGCAGTACAGTATATTTCACACACAATCTTTGTGTCCACCAGGTCCAGCACTAAATCTGAGGTAATGTGCCTAAGCAGACTTGTGGTGTCACAATTCCACTCAGGATGCCAAATTCAGGAAAACCTTTGTTCAAGCTCAATGCTGCACAATGTTTCTGGACTCCAGCTAGTCCTGAAAACAGTTTACATGCAACTGCACCTAAGCTAATCAACTGTATCAACTAATAAATTAGCTAATAAGGCTTGCTAGAACTAACTACATATCTATGACCTGACTTGCTCACTAAACTAACCAGATAAAGCCCTCCAGGGCCTTGGCAAGAGGGAGGTCATAGGGCTATAAGCAACATTTTATTTTACATATCTATGACCTGACTTGCTCACTAAACTAACCAGATAAAGCCCTCCAGGGCCTTGGCAAGAGGGAGGTCACAGGGCTATAAGCAACATTTTATTTTACTCTTTCAGATTTCATGCCTGATTAGATTAGCCATGGCTAATAGTTCCTGCAGCCTTTTGTTTCTAGCCCTAAGCATATCAACAAAGTGTTCCTAATATAGTGCAACTATAGGGAACTCATATATTGCATACTCACATAGTAATCATTCCACAAATCCAAAAATTACACCAATTACTAAATACTGGATGTCTGTATTAATGCACTCAGGACTGTGAGGGATGTCATCACCTGGATGTAAGTACAAAGACAGAAAACCAGGACGTAAAAAGGCTCCAGTGTAAAACTTAGCTGACTATGCTGACCCATGGCATCAGCTACTGATGTCTGCTCCAAACTTCTAACTGAATACTTACCAAAGCAAACAAAAAAATAACAACCCTGAACTTTGTTGTAAGTCCAGACACTGCCCACTGGTCTGACCCTACAGACACGAAGGAGTAATTAAAAAGGCTATCCATCAAGAGGACACTAAAGTCTGTCTGGAGGTGAAGGCATATTTTCAGAGAGAGCAAGGTTCAATTTTACTGCCAGTGGGGTACATTGAAGTACATGGAAGAAGCCTTGGAGGTCAGGCTTTATTAACGTATGAACAAAGATCAGCCTCCACATCATCACCACTGCATTCCAACAACCCATTTTTCTTGTTTATCTTTCAGATTGCTAGCACACAAAAAACAATTAATTCTCTCCTCTATAATTTGTTTTGCGTTTTTTTGACATATTTCCCATTTGAAAGAATCAGTGGAACACGGAAGAGAAGATCTCTAGAAAAAGGAAGAGAGAAACCATTTGAATTTATGAGTATTTGACAGCTGAGTCACTCACATCACTGAATTTTGCACCAAGCATAATTTCAGATACCTCCATTTCACTGTATTTTTTAAAGAAATGCCTGATAATGCATCAAAAGAGCTTAAAATAAAAAAGAAGACCACCCCAAACTTATTTTTAGTTCTAAAGGAACTTCTAATGCAAGACAGCAGTAGAGATAATTTATTGTGGTACTTCTGTCAACGATTCCACAACAACTCTGGAAAATAAGTACTCCTTATCAAATAGACCAAAAAGCTGTGAAAAAATTGTAATACACATTCAAACTTTACCCTCTGACTCCTGGTAATGACATTTTGTCTTGTATGCAGATTCTGCCTATATAGGATCATAGTAAATCAAGTACATTTGACCTACTGAGCTTAACATGACTGTAAATGAATCTCAAAGACAGGAATGCAGGATGTATGATGCTGCAGTCCTGATTGATAACTAAGAAGTCAGTTATAAATAAATCTGGAACAGTTGGGATTGACTGTTGTTTAGCACTTTCAGACAGACATTCAGGGCAACTGGCAGGGGCTTTGAAAGCTGTTTCCTATCTTAGAATCATGACAAAAATAGAAGTGAGGCTGCATTCCCTTGTCTTCTGCTAGAATAGATCTTACTCAAAAACATTTTTACAAGTTTGGCAAGGCATAACTAGTCCACCGTCAGATACAGAACAAAATCATAATTGGAAGTCCCATGTTGATCTACCACAAATAGTTACTTATTGAATTAATAAGAACAAAGCGGGGGTGGGGGAAATAAGAAGAGAAACGTGGAAGGTACTAGGAGATATTAGGGACAAGGAGAAGGTGGTTTCACTGCATTTTTTTTTTTTTTTTAAGTTGTAAGTGAAGTTACAATCAGAATTCACTAGCCAGAAAGACCCTAAAGACCTTTAAGAATAAAATAAAAAGGGAAAATCATATATTTTACCAACTGTCCTTAGGAATATATGGGGTTTTTTTTTGTGGTTTGGGGTGTTTTATTGCTGGTTAGGTTTTTTTTTCTTTGTTTGTTTTGTTTTTGAAGTCAAGAACAGACATTGCATAATAACTACTGACAGCAAAACTGAGTTGTGAGAATGGAACAGGAAAGAGGGAGCATGTATGGGGTTTTGTTCTGTTTTTAAGTGCCCCAAATACTGTTTATGGGGCAACCATATGTCACAGAGTCATCTTGCCTTCAGCACTTAAGCTTCCATATAAATTAAGATGGCATTTATTTCTGTGGTTTTTACACTCAAAATATATCTATCAAAATATTGTAGGATTAGCTAGTTCACTGACTGAACAGCCCACTCTTCTGCCAAAATAATCAGTGGCCCTAATAAGCAATAAAGAACTTTCAGGGTCAGTGGGAACCAAAAACATACAGACCAGAAATTCCATCTATAACTTCTTCCTACTATTTCAGATGAGTGAACTCCCAAACTATATGCAAGAGGCACATGTGACTGAAAATAGAATGTATGTAGTATAATACAAAATCCCAGGAGAAACTAGGATACAGTAAGAGCAGTTTGATTTAGTCTAGTAACTCTCCCAAATGGGTTTCCCATAAACTGTTCTTTCTCAACCAGAACAGTCATGCATAGTGTTTAGCTGACAGAGCTGAAATTGCCCCACCTGCACGCACTCTAAACCACCCTGAACCAAATCAGCTCCAACCGGGAAGCTCTGTAACCGTGGTGCACAATGCCATCCTGCCCTCTTAGCAGAGGTACCCGGTGAGCCCTGATGATGACGTCATGGTTCTGAGTAGGACCACAGCTTCTTGTGTCAGAACACACACAAAGTGGAGGCACGCCTTTCTACAGAATACTGTGTACCCCATTCACTAGTGACTTCCAGGTATTATTCCTATAGTTTCTACAATATACAAACTTCAACAGAATCAGCACTAGGAAATTTCTGCAACTTGCCTTCTAAAGTAAGCCTACTACAAATTAAGGCATGATTCAAGGTCTCCAGGCTTGCTGAAGAAGTACACACACAGGACCACATTTCAGTCACTGAATTGTGGTGTTTCCGTCACGACAACTGCTGAAATTATGCTTGTTGAAAGAGAAAATTCGTCATAAAGAGTCAGATCTTTTATTTGTAATGGATTGCCGCATTGCAGACATATTTTCCTTTTACCAGAACAGCCTGCCTAAATGTATTTTAAACTAATTACCTTTAGGTGGAAAATATGACTTGCTTTCAGCTTTGTGAGGCCAGTCCACCACAAGAGGTCCAAACCTACGAAAGCTGGCAGTGATCTCATCTATAAAAAACAAATGAGGCACCTTAGAGAGAATCTGAAGACTGACAGTGACAAGGTAAAAAAATCTCAGTTAAAAAAAAAAAAAAAAGACTATTTTCGACACCTGTTAAGAACAGTGAAAACTGGAGTAATGTACATAGAGGATGCCTAAATATTCTTTCACCTATATGCTATACATGGCTGCTTAAAAAAGTAATTTTACATTCCACTAATGCAAGTTTGCATCAGGATTAAATGCAAACATGATCTATCAGAAGTGAATATGCTTCAGCTGCAGTTTATTTCTAATTATAGCCACAAAGCAGGGTCAGATGCAGCCACATGGGACTGGCTGAGGAGCTACATGTCAGCAGGGCCACTCCTTGTAGCATGCCCTAGAAAGCAGGCTGCATCAGGTCATGCGACTGTGGGGATTTCACCTTCCTCAGCCCCCTCTGGAAATCTGCCTTGAATTACCAAGTTATTTCTTTGCTTTTTAAGCACCAATTTAGAAACACCATGGAACACACATCTCAAACTATCCTAAAGGACAATTTTACATGCAAATGCATTGAGAAAAACCTGTTTTAAGGTTGTTTGGTTGGTTGGTTGGTTGTTTTTTTTTAATCTAAGATATTTTTTTCCTCAATGCATTTATGTACTTTAAAGAAACATTTAATTTAAAATTGTGTCTAATGTGATGCTAGATAGATCAGAGCAATGATCCATCAGGAGACAAAGGCAGTGGTTTTCCAATTTTTTGATCGCTGTTTGAAATGTGTCCAATTTATCTGACCCCATGAGCTGCACATCAGATTTTTCAAGACACTAAAGCCACACATATTGCATAACTCAGGAGCTGAAGGAAAAAGATGTTACTGGAGTAGACCCCTCATGGGAGAGGGTAACAGCTCCCATGTGGCTATGTTACTTCCTTGTAGAATAGACTGGGCATATATTTTGATTGAGTGACCCAGCAACATTTACATCAGTTGTACCTGTTGGCCTGTTTCTTCTTACAGCTGGGGATTCAGATAACCCAGTAGTCCCTGTGTCAATAGTCCTGGAACTCATGATGTGACACGGGAACTGCAATTAAGCTGTCTTGGCAGCTCATATTTATTAAAATTGCACGTGGTTCAGGCTCCAATTCAGTAGATCAGATTTGGAGATCACTCTCTTCTCGTTATAAGGCATCCTCAGATTCCCTACGTATACCAGTTGAAGCCAGATAGTGGTGGATTTCAGCTATAATATGAAAAATACACCAAAAACTGTCATGATTTTAGTTGGGAGTCAGGCTGTGTGGGGGCACAAACAAGTAGAGCAGATACTGATTGAGAAAAAAGCTGACCATCCTTACTAAGCTGGTTATTATTTTGTAGCCATATTAATTGCCCTACATTTGTCAGCTGAACACTGCATATATGCTGGATATAAGAGCTGATTAATTAAAGCCTGATTTATTTTGGTAAGGACTGTATTAGCAAAGTCCTTAAGGTCAACCACATCTTGTAAAAAGAACCAGGAAAGACTATGGTGGAGTGACAGTACCCACTAAGTTCCGTTTTTCAGTTTTCCCACTTTGCATGTGGGAACACATGCTGCTACTGCAGGTTAGAAGGCCTGCCATGCAGGCACTTCTGCCTCCATCTCTTCTGACCTACAGTATAAAAGAATGTCAAATTAATTCTCAGGTATTTCAGGGGGTGGTGATGGTTGGTTGTTTTAAATAATGCCGCGAGCAACATACCTGGGAAAATACATATGTTATTATGAAAATATGACCTTTTGAAAGTAATTATATGAAAGTCATTTCTCACATCTCACCAATGTAACTTATTCACAGTACCTTCATCAATGTCAGGAGGAAGACCTCCAACAAACACCTTTCTAGAATAGCGTTCCACTCTTTCACCATTCTGACAGCGTGTTGGAGAGCTGAGACCCGATGATAAAGACTGATCACCATGACTGTCGTCTAGGAAGCCATCTTCAAAAGGAAAGAGTGAAGACCGACCTGTAACAGATTTTGTAGTATCTATAGTTAACACTATTTCCTGGAGAATTAAATACTTCAGTAAAAAATGTTGTATTTCCTTCTACTGTTTTGCTTTAACAGAATTTGCATTAAAGGGGACAGCTAAGTGGTCCAGTTATCCACATGATGTTCATTAGTATTGTTTCTATTTTTCCAAGTCTATATTATCCAAGACAATAAACCTAATTTAGCTTTAAAACGAATCCTTGCAACTGACTAGTAATGAAAACCAGCAAGTTATCTGATGAAATTGTGTGTCATAGGTATAGAAAGAACAATTATAAGATTTGCATTTCAAACCAATTCTTAGAGATTTAAATCTTCCGTAACAGATCTTGCAGGAATGATCTTAAAGAGCAGATCCCTCAAGCTATTGCACTGCAGACCAGGACAGTCTCAATCAGAGTGCTTTACAGGGTCCTAACCACAAGGGCTGCATCACTTCCTCCTCGAGTGAATGGAGGCCCAGTCTGAGCAGGGGGGCAAGCAGCAAAATAAACATAGAAAGGCTTTGTATTGTGGATATTAAACGTGCAGGTGAAACAAAAAACTTAGCTAACAAGAAAAAAAAAATCTTTAAAATCTTATTAAATAAACCGCAAAAAACTTACAGTTGAAGAAAAAAAGTTGTTAGCTAGGACAGCCTGTCAAGCTGTTACTCTGTTTTAAAGCACACTTTCAGTAATGACCTAACTAAAGCAACATAAATGACTGCTACTCAGTCTGTTAATGGAAAGTAAAAAATTTTGTGATCATCTAATGAAATTAACTTGTTGCTATTACTACCAGAGTATACACACATTATCTTAAAAACAGATTTATTGACCTAGAAGATAAAGAAATATTCAAAGTCTCTATGTAAGCATGTAAGCAACACTGTAGAACACACAAACTTTAGAATTGAATGATTTCCTATATATGACTTGAAAACTAAATCCTGCAATGTAGAGGTGTATAAATGGGAACCTCATCTCAAGTCTGAAAAGGCTAATTGTCCCCTCATATTATGGAGGATTACTCCCAGGGATAGAGTTATAATTCATTGATACAAACAGTTTATAGGGGGTTTAATTACAAATATAAATAGCAGGGCACACAATGGAATTCAGAGGTAACAGATCACATGAAACTGACTTCCAGCAAGACCTAAGAAAGAATTAATGCCATACCAGGAAAGTACAGGAAATAAAAACAGAGGCAAGGAGGAAAAAAAAAACCAAACCAAACCAAACCAAAACAAAACAAAAAAAAACATGCAGAGGGACACTAGTCAGAAAAACATATATACTGAAAAAATACCAGTAATAGAGTAGCAAAGGACAGAAAACTGAAAGAAGAAGCAGTCCTATATATGGAAAACAATCTAAGAAACAAAAGCTAGGAAAGATGTTCTGATTAACACAGAACCCTAGCCTGATTTTTTTCTGAACATGAGGCACTGGAAAAGTCTTAATTAGGAAGAATATAGTGAATGCCCAACATTGACAGAGATCACAGATACAAAAATCCACTGAAGCAAAAACCCTACTGTGCTTTTAAGCACTGACATAAAAAATAGGGTAAATGCCGCAATCAGAGAAGGATTTAGAGATGCTACTTTTCAAAGTCTAGTATAACTGGTTGTCAGAAACGGTGGGTTTAGTGCATAAAACAGGAAAGACTATTGAATATTCCATTAATGGACAAACAGGTCATGCACATATATAAACATATGCATTTCAGCATAAAAGAGAACAGATGCATGAGAGAAATAATAATTAGGAAGGCTAAACTTGTGTAAAAATATCAAATCAGAAAACCCATTGAAAAGTAAGAAATTAGAAAATATCTCTAAGAGATTGACATTAGTAAGAAGCTAAATAATCTTTTAATCCCCATCCTCCCACCTACCTTCTTATAAAAAAATAAAACAAAACAAATAACAAACATGTGCTATTAGTGGAAGTTGGCATATCAAATTAATAGATACTAGAACATGGTACTCAACTAAAATACAGGTCTACAAATGAGGCTGAATAAGTGCTGAGTTCTGAATGAAATTATGAAAATGCACAACAGCTTAAAAAGCAAGATAACACATCTTATGCCAGATGCTTGACAGTCTGCAAGCATTGTACTCGTCTTAAGTAAAGGCAAAAGATGATCCAAAACTTTTAAATGTATGACGTATACAATTAAAATAATGGAAAGCATACAGACAAGGGAGTAGGGAATGACTGGTCACTTTCTCTACCAGTAAGGAGAAACTAAAATGCATTGAACACAATCAGTACATGGCAAGGCTGAAAGCAAATCAAACCGTGGAATCCCTTGCCACAGGCTTTTTAGGATGCTGAGATTCATGTATGTAGATTCAGAAAAGAGAATGAGCAAGAACAGAAGAAAAAACAATTCTGAAGCAATCAATATTGAGACATCACCTCAAGAAACCCCTAGAGGCAAATCTCTGGGAGAGCATTATGGGAAAAGCATCACTAAATGCCTTATTTTTATACCTCTGCGCCCCTCCCCTGGCATCTCTGAGTTGTCAGTGTAGCAGAATAGATTTTGGGCTGATTTCACATAGCTGTGCTTACATCTGTACCTGAAAAGCTGGTTGTAAAAGTTAAAAAGAACATGACTCAACAGATCTAAGCATGATACCTACAAAGAAATGCCTCTTCACTCAAAGAAATCAAGAGGATCAAGTAGACAACTGATATATTATGGTAAGCACCAAGAAATTTCTGACAAAAGCTCTTGTCACTGAAGATGCTTAGTCACAGTGACAGAATCAAACACTAATTAAAATATCCAAGTATAAAAAACGTTAAATGAGTCCCTGCACAGATTCGCCTCTGGGTACTCTGCAGATTGCCACAATGCAAATGGGAAAAACAATAATAGAGGGGGATATACGATAACATTTGATAAGCACCACATCATGTTTTAACAGACTATTGTAGAATTTTGTGTTTCTTAAGGTTAAGAAAGCTCAAAACAATAATATAAAATTCAAGATAATGAAAAAGCATGAATATCACAGACTTCAATATTGTATGAATAAGGCAAGTCACAAAATCCCTAACATTAATGAAAAGACACACACACACACACAAATCTATGTATTACTATAGACAAGCCTGAATTTCACATAGAAAACACACGTTACAGAGTGAAACATGCTTTTTGGTAAAGTAAAAAACATTCTGAAAGTCCAGCACATTCAGAAGTCGTTTGCCCTGTTTTGTCATCACTATAATTTGTATGAAACAGCCTACACTCTATTCATCAGTTACTGCCACATTACTATATTTCACTTCTACAAGTAAACATAAGTTGCAAAAAGTTAATAATGTCCAGCTGATTCCCACCTCCTTCCCTACTTAGGTGCCATTTGATCAACCTGGAAATACTTGCCACAATCTTAAAATGAAATTAAACAGTGTTTGCATGCACAGAGATTATACAATATTAGATATTTTGCCTATTTTCCAATTTGTTTCAGTACCATGAGAGCACTGAAAAAGTTTAAGTATTAGGATGTGTTCAACATCTGTTAACAATAGCCTGTTCTCTGGAATCAGGGAAAAATTGGAAGGTAAGTTTGTGGGGAACACATAAATATTTTCTTTTTGTTTTAGCTATAAAATGAACACGGAAACCAGACGGCTATTAACAAAACCCACTCAAAATCTCTATTATAAACTGTGTTAGCAGAGCCTACTACCTCAAATCCATACATATGTGCAAACTACAAGTTACTTATATGCTATTGGCTTGCTTGTGTGCCTACACTTGTCTCCCAGCTCCTTCACAAACATGATGCAAATCCTACATTTTAAAAATGGAAGAGATGTCACATGCATAGCTGTCAAAGAACATATATCAAAAATTAGATAAAACCAAGTTTAATGCCCAAGTACCTCAAGCAGGTGGCATTACCCAACTCTAATCGTTAAAATCTGCAATCCTCATTGTTATCTTCTCAGTAAAGAACAGTCTGTATAGGCTACAGCACAGTACATAAGTGTAAGCTACATTAGTAGCTTCCCTGGTAGTCAGCGAGCTTGCTGTTGTCAGTGTTCAGTAATCTCTCAGAATAAACTTATATGCAGCACTGTACATTTATAAAATGTTTTCAGTCTGCTTTTACTTTTTAAGGGTTGCATATAATGAAATAAAGCTAAACTGTGTTCAAATGTATCTTTTATTATTATTATTAATATCCGCTGTTGAAGACAGTTATTAGTATTGGTATTCACAATGTTCTACCTTAGGGAATCCAATATAATACTCAAGTGTAATATTCAATGAAAGTTGTTTCCTCTAAGAAAAAAGTATTTTTGAAATGTTCAATGTACTAGTTAAACATTGCATTTCTACCAAAAAAAAAAAACCAACCCAAAACATAACCAAACCTGAAAACAATCTTTTTTTTTTTTGAACACTACACATTTAAAGTCATAAATCTGTCATGAAAGAGTCTTTACATTCAGTTATCCTTCAGTTCACTAGTAATAGCAACACACTTGAAGTTATCAGCTCAAGTTCATCATTGCTTTAAGCTGCTGATGTTTGCAGATGAAGAATATGAGACTGACTTGTACAAAGCAACTGATGAACCAAATAATGTTAAAATTAGTAACATCATCTTATTATAAGAGAACTAAATATTTATTTCTCCCACTATTCACCAAACAAAACATTTAGTAAATACTTTTACCTCTTCTCCGCCCATAGCTCCTGGCTGCATGTAAACACAGAAGAAAATTGTCGGTACAGCTGTCATTAGATTTAGCTCCAAAAGCAACGAAAATGTAGCTTCTCTCTGTTCTCTTTTCCCCCTCCCACCATAAAGAAGGAAAATACATTCAAAAAGTGCAAGATGAAATCCAAACAACCCAAGACAAGACAAGAAGTTTGAAGATGACAAAAGGGGGTGGGGAGGTGGGGGGCGCATGGGGGAATTAAACATACCTGCTGTGCAAGTTTTCTACATAGCAAAGGTATTTTAAAAAATCAGACATATCAGACTTACAGTACTATAAAATAATTTAGGATTATGGTTTTAAGAGTCAATAAACATCATCAACAGTAATCTTAATTAAAATAATTAATTTTGCATCTTATTAATTAGTTGTGGAGAACATATTTTCTGATTATGTTTCAATTTAATTAATTAACCATCTGTAAATAGTAAGATCCTACCAAAACAATATGTACTCAATAGCCAGTATGTTCAGACAAATAAAAACAGATTGACAAAACCTCTTCATAACTACCAGAATTAATACAGCATTTCAATGAGACATGCATCAATGGCAAGATCCACAATGTTGTACAAGTGCAGAAGCATAATTTGTGATATAATGAGAAATGCAAAAAATAGCATTTTTTGATCTGAAATTTTAGAATACCAGAGAACAATCTGGAAAACAGTGTGTTCTACAGAGATCCTTCAATCTGTCACAAAAGGTATCTGTGGTTTTCCAAGGTAATCAAATGTAGAAGGCTAAGGGTCAGGTAGAGTTTTTCAACAGAAAGTGAACTTAGGGAATAGGTAATCGAGCCTTGGTGTGTTTCTTTCTCTCTTGACTGCAATACTATGTGCTTCTCCTCCTTCCCAACTCCATCTCTTATTTCCAAAACTAACACAATGCCTTCTCGTCCTACCCTACATGCCCAGGTTTTAGGTGTAATTCCTTTAGCTCTCCCTACAGCCCTTAGCCCACTTCATGTAATTCCCACTCCCTCCTTGTATATCCCAAGTGTCCTCCACCATAAAACTAATTTTTCTATTTCCATCTTGGAATGGACATCCTGAGGTGTCCCACCATACCCCTCCACTTTCCCTAACTCCTTTTCTTAGGCCAGCAATTACATGACAGACCAGTTGTTGCTAGTTGAGAACTACTAATCTGATGACTAGTCCCTTGGCTATGAGAGGCCCCAGGGACTACCCAGAGCAATGCTGAACCTCCTTCAGCACACGCACTAGTAGCCTCTCTTCTACCCAAGTAGATTCTTCCTCAAGCCTTGAAAAAACATTGTCTCAGGCACCATACTCCTTTTTCTCCCACCATCAATAAGGCCACAAAAGATCAACTACATGAGTATTTCATTAGAGGGATTAAAAAATTTCAAGGGCTATGATGAAAAACTGCTTCACAATTTCTGTTTAACACAAAAGCAGTAGAAGGTGTGTGAACAACTATTCAGCCTATAGTGAGGTAGCTGGTAAACCCTGAAACACACTCTGTTCCTTGCACCTCATGGAGCAAGTCCTCATCCTGAATGCCCATACACCAAAAAATAAGCATGTATCAAGGTGTAGCTATCAACATGTTTGGATAGTAATTTCTTTGAAAAACATTTCTCAAACAGAATGCTACCACTTGAAAAATTAAATAAAGAAGCATTACTTTAGTATGAGATGAAAAACTTCTGTGTTTAAGAAAGCTTTATATGCATAATGTAAACATTTAGGCTCTAAACAAGGTAACTGCATGATGGCAGATGGCAGACTTCCGTAAATTTTAGAATAACCTATTGTCATTCATACATTATAGCACTTCCATATTATACTGCACTGCATAATATTACTTTCTTGTATATATGCACTCACACATATAATCTTTATGCTCATAAATAAATTTTCATGAAGTTATATTTACTATTACCTGTAAATTCTAGGTGGAAAACAGGGCAAACCACTTAAACAGGAAGACAATCAGCCTATTCAGGTTTTGCTGGTTTAGAAACATTGCATTACATTTAAACACTCAAAGGTGAAGTTTCACCATTGTTGCTTATATTTTATATATACATACACACACGTAATTTGAAAATTAACTCAGTTTTATCCAGTGTTTACATTAAAATGTTACTTTTCCCAACAAGCTGAGTTATTCAGCACAACAACTTAAGAATGTCAACACACATTTTATTATGTTTTTTACACAGTATGCAGAATAAGATAGAGTTAATAAAAAAAGACAAGTTAACAAGAACAAGGTAAGTTAATAAAAAATACCCATCATGTTCATAAGTCAAAGTTGAGAGCATGAAAGATTTAATAGAAGGAATGGTTCATTAGGCAAATTTCTTAATGCTTCCAGTGTAAGTAAATATTTTATAAAATAAGCAATTTAGAAATTGTTCTCGAATTAAGACATTTGGGACCCAGCAAGAAAATTATTGCACTATTACAAACAGTGAAATTACCAGTGTTATATATCTGAAGTTACTTTCTCTCTCAGGCAATTCCAACAGAAGACAAAAGAGACAGGGAGCTCCCAAAATTGTACCCAGCACTGATGAAGCCACTCCTATATACTGGTTTTGGTGCCAGATATGAAAATCATTTTGCACAGAAAAACATCTCCTGAAACATTGCAAAATTCAACACAAAAGCAATTCTTTCCTAGGTACCTCATGGAATATTATGGTATTAATGAAAACACAGCTGTTTTAATAATAAGTGATGAGCACATTTTCCCATGTAAAATTTGAAATTGTTGCAAGCAGGCACTGATCAGTTGTGCAACTCCTGAAAGGATCACCACTGTGTTACAGTGTTTTTCCATTCCTTTGCAACTTCCCTTAACTGACAGGTAGAAAGTTACGTAACCCCTATGTCCTAAATTGCATATATTCAAATACAAAGGAACAATACATTCTTTTATACCTCCTGATAACTCTCCTGAAACTATTAACTCACCTCATCCAGAAGTTGAGTGTATTCTTACAAACGTGAAACTGTATGTTGAAGAACAAAACTCTAAGCTTTTAGCAAACAAGTAAAACTCCCCAAACCCCAAATCTTGCAATGCAAGCAAGCAAATTTAGTGCTAATGCTATTGGAATTCCTGAAAGCCTGCAGCTAAGATTACTCATTGCTGCAATAAATCAAAACACACTCAACTGAAATGCTCAAATTCTAACTGCATCTCAAAGAAAGCTAGATGAAACTGATGAAAAGGAACTTTAAAGGCTTGCATTTTGCAAATGTCTATCTGGTAGTTAAGGGAGAAGGAGTCTACTGGTAGCATAAGAACATGCTTATAAAATTCCATGAAGAGCCACAAAACTCTTGGGATAACATGGTTTATGAGATGAGCATAGCTGCATGACACACAGAAGCACGTATCCACACAAGATAGCCCTCAAGGATTCAGAAAGGAAGGTAGACCTAACAACCCTTGCCTGGAAAGGCAGAGGATCAAAAGCATCCACAGTGTGACAATGTTGTCAAGAAAAAAAAATGTTATGTGAACAAGGGAAGCTACTCTGCTGTTTAAAGTTACTTTTGTTCAGTTAATATACATCCTGAAAACCAAGAACACAAACAACAGAACATTGCTTATTGTATATCAACAAGTAAACAACCTTCACTCTTCAGCTCACTACTTAGGCTGGGAATAAGTTTGGATTTGTCCTGATGTTTGTGTTGGAAGGTTCTACCACTAAAAGGAACATTGTGTAATTTGTGTGATAAAAGCAAAACATGTAAATAAATACCAGAATTGCACAAACGATTTCTGAGAATTATTATTAGTAAGGCAGGTGTTCTGCAATGTATTTGATAGAGCTGAAACCAAGTGACAACATACAGAAAATAAAAGTTTTTGTCTAAAAAATATTCTTAGAAACTTAGTGTATGTTAAAACATAGACCTAAACCATATGGCTCAGCTAGAATACCTATAAGAGCTCATATTCAATGCCCTGATGGGTAAGACCAATAAACCATCCAGACAACTATTCAGTCTTCAATAGTGGCACTAGAAAGAGCATGTTAGACTGGCCGCTATCAGTGATATTTTTCTCTTCTGCTTACCTTAGCATTCATAGTTATTTGAGGAAACATGTTAGGAGGCACACTCACCTACTTCTAATACCTGCTTAAAGACTTTTGTAACCATTTGTCGACCTTTTTTTTAAACCTGCTGATACCATCTCTTTCCACAAATTCCTGTGGCACCAGGTTCCAAAAGTAAACTACAGAAGCACTTCCTTTTGTGGGTTTTGAATGGATCTACCATAAGTTTCACCAATTGCCCCATTAGTTCTAGCTTTGTGGAACACGGTGCACGGCAGTTTTGCATTTCCCTATAATTTTTCTAAGGCTCCATCACATTCAACTTCAGCATTCTCCCCAAACTCAAGTGTTTCAGCTTCTTTAATCACTTGGTAATCCAGTACAGTCACAGTAGAGACAGACTATAATGAAGAACAATTACAAAATCCAGAGAAAGTTGTATTTTAGTAGTTAGCTACTTTGATATTACAAAATAAGGAAAAAGCATAGCTAACAAAAAAAAAAAAATTAAGCTTCCAAAGGGTATAGAGAAAATTGAAATAGAGCAGTGAAAGTGATGTTCATTATCAGTCTCATTAGCTTTACTCAAGGCTGCAAAGACAAAAAAAAAATTAAAAACTCAAAGTTATGTGCTATCACTGGTTTAATCTATTCCTATGGAATAGGATTATTCCATAGGAAGGCCATGAGAACACTTTTCCACAAAAAACTATGCATGCTTTAGGGCTTGTACTGGTTTACTATTCTGGTCTCAAATCACACTTGTAACTGGGCTGGCTATGCTCATATAAGGCTTGTAGTATGCACTGTCCACAATACATTTCAGTTATAAAACAGCAGAAGGTAAAAATTGGCGGTACTTGGGAAGAATAGGTATCAGTGATGTCAGATCAGTCAATCTAGAAATGTGTATCTTCTCACACGATT